GACCAACCTACTGAAAAAGGATACGCCCTACAAATGGGATACCCCTCATCAGCAAGCCATGGAGCAGCTACAGACAGCACTGACTACAGCGCCAGTACTCATCTTGCCGGATCCAGACAAGGACTACGTGGTGGAAGCAGACGCTAGTGACCAAGTAGTCGGAGCAGTACTGATGCAGGATCACGGACGCGGTTTGCAGCCCATTGCCTACCTCAGTAAGAAGCTACACGGAGCAGAACTCAACTACCCCATCCATGACAAGGAAGCCTTAGCGATAGTCATAGCCTTCAAGGCGTGGAGGTGTTACCTAGAGGGAGCCAAGACTACAGTCTATACTGACCACTGCAGTCTCAAATACCTGAAGTCGCAGCCGACGCTCTCACGACGACAGGTGCGGTGGGTGGACTTCCTGGAAACTCACTTCCACTACGACATCGTCTACAAGCCCGGGCTACACAACAAGGCAGACGCGTTGAGCCGCCCCCGACCAACGCCACAGCTACAGCTGAAGCAACTGCTCGCCTCTTCTTCGACCGCATCATCACCATCCACGGCATCCCCGCTACACTCATCTCAGACAGAGACCCAAAATTCACCAGTAAGTTCTGGAAGGAGCTCATGGGACTGTTGGGGACAAAGCTTGCAATGTCTTCAGCATACCACCCCCAGACTGACGGACAGACAGAGCGACTCAATCAAGTGGTTGAACAGTTACTACACACAGCTTGCAAGGACGACGTCAGCCACTGGGACACACAGTTACCGACCCTAGAGTTCGCTTACAACAACGCATCACATGCGGCCACAGGGAAAACTCCTTTCTTCCTGTGTTACGGACGGGAACCACTCACACCACAGCAGCCAACCACACCGTCACACGTCCAAGCCGCACATGACTTCGTCACCACCATGCAGCAGCTATGGGAGAAGACTCAACGACGACTCACCACGATGCAGACCTCCCAGAAGCAGTATGCCGATCGTCAGCGACGCGATCACACTGTAGCAGTCGGAGATCAGGTGCTTCTTGACACGCGCAACTTGAACCTGTCTCACCTACCATCCAAACTCCGGCCTCGCTTCTGTGGTCCTTTTCTCGTTGAGGCACAGGAGACACCAGTTACATTCCGCTTGCGCTTACCAGATACATGGAAGCTTCACAACGCTTTCCATGTTCAGCTACTGAAGCCCTACAAGGACCCCAACCAAAAGTTCCAGGGACGGCAGCTACCGCCACCACCACCGGTTCTCGTACAGGATGAACCAGAGTACGAAGTGGAGCGCGTTCTCACTCATCGGCGCCGCGGCGGCAAGACCCTCGAGTTCCTGATACACTGGAAGGGATACGACCCCACTGAGGACAGTTGGGTTGCAGAAGCTGATATGGGCAATGCACGCCGTGCTCTCAAGGACTATCTTGTCAAGCAGGGTGTATCTTACGCCACCCAGCTTTGAGGGGGGGACGTGTGAGAGTACGACGGCTTACGCCAGCTATGCTTGCTTGCCTTTACTTTATCATGCTATTTCTAGCATAGGATAATTATATGCATGCATGAATTGCATGATTTCCTAGGCTAGGTGCTTTCCTATATTTTATTATAGTTATAGCACCGAGCTAGGTTGCGTGCACCGAATTCTGGCTTTTCGGTTGCCACCGAATTGCCTTCTACCGAATTCGAAAAGGATCTGTTCGGGACGCTTCGCGACCCGCGGAACCTTCGCGTAACACCTGGTTACGGGGCCTTGTGTCGAGCCTATATATAGCCTCGTGTTGTACCCAAGTGATCATTCAATTCACATTCTCTTTTCTGAGCTCGATCCTAGATCCTCATAGCGCTGATGATCACAAGGCGGAAGTGCCTTGGTAAAGATATCAGCTGTGTTGGCCTGAGAGGCCATGTAAGCAAGGCGCACCTGACCACGCTGCTGCAGCTCACGAGCAAGGAAGTAGCGAAGAGCAATGTGCTTCGTTCTGTGCTCCAGTCTGTGCTCCCGACACAAGGCCAGCATGGCCTTGTTGTCTACGTACAGAACTGGAGGAGAACGAGGCAGCTCTCCTAGGTCTGTCAGTAGGGTAGGTGAGCCAGCGTAGCTCCTGTGCAGCCATGGCCCCTGCGTAGATCTCAGCCTCACAGCTGGAGCCGAGAACAGAAGATGAGCGGGTAGACCGCCACGAAACAGAGCCGGAACCAAGGCTGAAGGTGTAACCCTGTGACGACCGCTGCGTAGCCTGGTCGTCAGCCCAAGAAGCGTCTGCGTGACCTGGTAGGACCACTCAACGTCGCCCTCCAAGCACTAGCCCCATGCTCGACGTATTGCACAAGTAGCGCAACACCCTCTTCGCTGCAGCCATGTGTTCTGGTCGGTGTCTCCCAGGAGCAACATAGCGTGCCAAGATGCTAAGAGGGTATGCAAGGTCAGGTCGTGTGCATGTCATCAGGTACATGAGGTAGCCAACAAGCTCTGGGTACGGGCCACTCGGCTCTACGGACTCATCCGAAGGCAGAGTTGAGAGCGAGTGGCGAGTAGACAGAGTGGCCTGAGGCGAGGAGTACGTGAAGTCGAAGCGCTGAAGGACCTGCTGCACCATGTGTGACTGAGTCAAGGTAATGGTGTGCTGTGCTCTGTCCCGGGTGATCTGCAAGCCAAGGTAGCTGCGCAGTTCACCCAGGTCTGTGCACGTGTGTCTCTTCTGCAGCTCGGACTTCACGTAGGCGAGTCCAGCAGTGTCAGCAGTGGCAAAGACCAAGTCGTTGACGTACACAAGGATGTAGAACCGCGGCAAAGAGGTGTCGGTGCGCAGAAACAGCGACGGGTCGGCAGGAGAAGGAGCAAACCCAAGAGCCGCAAGTGTAGTCCTCAGTGTGTCGTGCCATTCACGGGGCGCCTGGCGGAGACCGTAGACTGGCCGGCGGAGGCTCCACTGGGTACCAGGAGGAAACGACCCAGTGAAGCCAGGTGGGCGGCTTAGCCAGATCTCCTCGTGCAGGCTGCCCTGCAGGAAAGCTGTGCTGAAGTCAAGAGAGTGAAGCTCGTAGTCGCGCTGAGCGGCTATGTGCAGCAGCACCCAAAGAGTGGTCATCTTCGGGGTGGGAGAGAAGGTCTGAAATTAGTCAACTCCCTGCCGCTCACTTAAGCCTCGAGCCACGTAACGCGCCTTGAAGACGGGCGGAGAGCCCGGCGGCCGCTTCACCCTAAAAATCCACATGCCACTGACGATGTTTGCCCTAGGTGGGGGAACCTCGTCGACGTAGGTGCCTGTGGACTTCCAGGAAGCCATCTCTGCGTCCATGGCTGACTGCCACTGAGAGGAGTAGGGACCCTCGATCCCATCAGCGTACGATCGAGGAGTCGGGATGTCTGGTGCATCCGGGTCTCCCTCAGGGGCAATCAGCGTGGACAGGAGATGAGGCAAAGCAGCAGCAAAACACTGGAACTCCTCCTGCCTATCCTCAAGGACGTCCGTGCTGAGAGCACACTCACCCCCAACGGACGGAGGACAGACAGACTAAGACTCAGCAACGAGACTAGTGGCGTAGTCTAGACGACAGCGAGCAGCAAAGTCGACAAGCTCAGCAACTAAGGCAGACGCAGCACTGGACTCAAAGGAAGGGTCAGTGACAACAGTGGCGAGGAGACGCGTGATAGTAGGACTGGCAGCACGAAGAGAGTCAGACTCTTGGTCAGCAAGAACAGGAAGAGAGGACTCTGGAGGAGACGGCAATGGGACACGCAGAGGAGCAGTGGAAGGACGTAGTGCCATCTGGTGTGTGCCTGGGACTGCAGGAGGACGCGGACGCGGAGCACGACTACTAGTGCGAGCAGCACGAACAGGCGACGCAGGACAAGACGCAGGCTCACGACGCTCAGCAAGTCCTCCAGTAGGACCAGTGTAGGGAGAAGGAGCAGGTAGGGGGGAGGCGGGCTGTAAATGTGACCGCGACTGGACAGGCTGTAGACACGCTAAGGGAGGAGCAGGACCAGTAGAGGGCGGGAGACCAAGAACCTGCTCAAGGAGCGGAACGAAGTACGGCCGCGGCCGCGAAGCGCCTCCAGAACCAGCATGGAGAGCACCAATACCCCCAGCGGCAGCACCAGCGCCAGCAGCACCTCCAGCTCCAACAGCTCCAGAAGCACCAGCGCCAGCAGCACCACCAGCGCCAACACCCCCCACAGCGCCAGCTCGAGCAGCTCCAGCAGCTCCAGCTCCAGCAGGACCGTCAGCTCCTGTACCGCCAGCAGCTCCAACACTACCTCCAGCAGGACCAACTCCAGCAGCCCCAGCAGCACCCCCAGTCCCAGCAGCTCCAGTACCGCCAGTACGAACACCTCCAGGACCAGCACCAACACTAGCACCTCTAGCTCCAGCAGCACGGCTCCAGCGCCGGGCAAACCACTTGCGCAGCTCCTGCGGAGAGAGTAGCTCCCGCCTCGACGAAGCATCGCCAAAGGCCACACGAGCGGACCCAGCACCTCCAGACTCCGCACCCCCAGGCTCCGTACCCCCAGGCTCAGCACCCCAAGGCTCCGCACCCCCAGGCTCACCACCCCCAAGCTCCGTACCCCCAGGCTCAGCACCCCCAGGCTCCGCACCCCTAGGCTCAGCACCCCCAGACTCAGCACCCCCACGCTCAGCACCCCTAGACTCAGCACCCTCAGACTCAGCACCCCCAGATTCAGCACCCCCAAGCATCGCACCCCCAGGCTCAGCACCCCCAGACCCGGCACCCGCAGGCTCAGCACCCCTAGCAGCACCAGAGTCAACAGCTACCTCAACAGGCTCGACTGTGTCTACCTGGGACACACCTGACGGGGCAGGACCCTGAGGGGGGAGAGGGTCTACCGGGGGAGGACCTGGTGCAAGGAAGAGCGGCGGCGGGGGGAGGGGCGCAGTGCGGTAGGGGAAGAGACGGTAGTAAGGCACCGACTCGTCAAAGGTGACGTCCTGGGAGGACAGAACACGGCGCGAGGTGGGGTGGTAAAACTGCCTACCAGGCGCGTCAGGGGGGAAGCCAAGGAAGACGCATAGGAACAGCACGGGGGGACAACTTGTCCGCAGACAAGTCGCGGACAAACGCCCAAGGTCCCCAGACCCGAAACGCAGACGCATCGCCAACCTTCCCCGTCCACCGCAAGGTGGGGGAGGTCTCTGGCAAGGAGACCCGGGGCTGAAGGTTGAGCTGATGCGCTGCGTAGTGAACCGCAAACGGCCACAGAAAATGGGGAGCAGCCGAATGGATCATGGACGTACGAGCGACATCCATGACGATGCCAATGCGGCGCTCAGCAATCCCATTTTGCTGTGGAGAGGCCGGAAGCGTGAAGGTCTGGCGGATGCCCTGTGCACGACAGAAGGCTCCCAGACGGGCAGAGTAAAACTCTCCGCCTCTGTCAGAGTGCAGACGCAGAACAGGAAAGTCCGAGCCGAAACTCTCTCTAAGCTGGAGACGAGCTACGCGGATCCAGTCGATCAACACCTTAGTGACGTCACCCTTGCTGCGCGAGGGGAAGACCGTGGTGTAACGCGAATAGTCGTCAACCTCCAACAGGAAGTAACGCTCGTGACCCTGGCCACGGACGCGGGCGGGGCCCCACACGTCCATGTGAAGAGTCCGCATCGGAGCCTCAGCCGGAGGAAACTCGGAGGAGTGAGGAGCGTTGCGCTGCCGCTTCTCGACGTAGGGAACGCAGGTAGGGGCAGGTCCCTGAGGGAGGAGAGGGAGGGACCGGGAGAGACCAGAGACAAGGTAACGGGAGGCCATGCCTCGGGGACGAGGCAGGGAGGGGTGACCAAGGCGGTGGTGCCAGAGGAGGGTCCGGTGGGATAGGAGACGACACGAGCAGGGGGCAAACTCAGGACCAGACCTGGACGCTGCAGCAAACACCTGACCCGACGCAGCTACTGGACCAGACTCAGCAACTGGAGGAGACTCAGTATTCAGTGTGTACAGGCTCGACTTCGGCTGACGGGTAAACGTGGCCAAGTGTCGGCCCGTCCGAGCATTCGTACAGTGGGTCACCCGCTGATTCGTAGAGAACGAGGGGAGGTAACGACCTGACAGGGTGCCAGAAGGGGCTGCCGGACACGGTAAGACAGTGGAGAAGTGGGCAAGGACAGGACCCCCAGAGGGGTCCGCCAGGGAGACCGCAACCAGCCGACTAAGCGGCGTAAGCGTGGTGCGGTCTCGAAAGAAGGAGCGGGAAGCACCCGAGTCAAGGGTGAAGGTGTGTAAGGCCTGAGCCGACGTGGTACCTGAGAGAGCAGACTCACCAGCACCTGGGGCAGCAGACGCACCAGCACCTAGAGCAGCAGCCTCACCAGCACCTAGAGCAGCAGCCTCAATGCCCGGGTCAGGCGGAACACACAGGTAACAGTCACCCTCATCACTAGTAGACACAGCATACATGGCAGCAAGAATAGCATCATAGTCAAGATCAAAGATAGCAACCCCCGCCCTAGACAGCTCTCCCCGGCGAGGGATCTCAGTGGCGTCAGGGAACTGGTGACGCCAAGCGTCCGTCAGGCGGCCGAAGCAGCGCTGGGTGGAGTGCGAGCCCCCGCACTGCTCACCAGCGCGGTCGCCGGTACGGAGGACGTAGGTACAGGGACTAGTACCCCCACCTCGCTGACGCCCAGCGTACCACTCACGAAGCTGCTGGGGGGACGGGGTCTCACGAGTGCGCTGCTGCAGCTGGCGCGGACCACCACCGGAGCCACTCCTCTGTGCAGAGCCGCGACCAGCTCCACCGCCGCCGCTGCGGCCTCCGCCACCTCTGCCGCCTCCGCTCCCACCGCAACCGCCGCCTCCTCCGCGCCTCCACTGCTGCCACTGACACCTCCACCCCCGCCACCACTCCCACCACCACCCCCACCCCCTCCACTTCTCCATTGCCACCTCCACCGCCCCCGCCAGCCCCTCCAGCGCCCTTGCCCCCCTTGCCCTTGCCGGTGCGACGTCTCCCGCTAGGGGCAGACGCAGCGCCGACCGACTCGAAGCCAACGAGGTCGGCCGCAGTAGCAGAAGCAACAGAGGGCAAGAGGGTGGAGGTGGAACACCCCTCAAAGACGGGGGTACGAGGGTCACCACGAGAGGCTCCTACAGCGACGATGCTCTTCTCTGCTGCTAGGAGGCGCTCCTCGAGGAGGTCAACGGTGAGTGTGGTGGGGCAAACTGAGAGGAAGTGGTTCCTGACTAAGCGAAGGGAGTCAGGGAGCCGGGTGACTATGTAGTAGAGGGTGATGTACAAGGGGGGAGGGTTCTTGGCGCAGAACTCAGCAGGAAGCGCAGCGCGGTAGCGAGTGTCACTAGTGCGAAGGTGCGTAATGAGGTCAGCGACTGTAGCTATGGACGCAGAGATGGCTTCCTGGAAGTCCACATGCACCTACGTTGACGCTGTTCCCCCTCCTGGGGCGAACATCGTCAGTGGCATGTGAGAAAAATAGAACGAGAATGAAATGACTATGAACGAAGTGAGTACAAATAGGAAACCCTAATTGGGTTGTACCCCCTATGGGATACCCCACTATAGCCTACACAAAAAAGTAAGCTATAATGTTCTGACACACCCCCATAGGCAAAGTGGGGGAGAGCAAGGGATCACAAGACCAGTCAAGCAAAGCAAAGCAAAGCTCAGGGTGGATCACAAAGTCACCACACATTCCGAGCACAAGTTCAAAGGCCAGAAGGCCAGTTCACATGCAAGATCACATATAGAGATATACAAGAGTCAAACAAGCAAGAGCAAGAGTATATATAGGTAAAGGTACAAGCAAGGTCAAGAAGTGAGCAAGTGAGGCAAGAGAGGCACAAGACCCAGCTGCGTGCAGCAGCGCTGATGATCACAAGGCGCAAGTGCCTTGGTGAAGACATCAGCAGTGTTGGCCTCAGAGGCCACGTACGCAAGTCGCAACTGTCCACGCTGCTGTAGCTCACGAGCAAGAAAGTAGCGGAGAGCAATGTGCTTTGTCCTGTGCTCCAGTCGCTGCTCTCGACACAAGGCCAGCATGGCCTTGTTGTCTACGTACAGGACTGGAGGAGAACGAGGCGCCTCTCCAAGGTCGGTCAGCAGGTAGGTGAGCCAGCGAAGCTCCTGGGCCGCCATAGCCCCGGCGTAGATCTCAGCCTCACAACTGGAGCCGAGAACAGAAGACGAGTGGGTAGCCCGCCACGAAAGAGAGCCGGAACCAAGGCTGAAGGTGTAACCCTGTGACGACCGCTGCGTAGCCAGGTCGTCAGCCCAAGAAGCGTCCGCGTGCCCAGTGAGGACCACTGGACTGCGCCCTCCAAGCACTAGCCCCATGCCCGACGTACTGCACAAGTAGCGCAACACCCTCTTCGCTGCAGCCATGTGCTCTGGTCGGTGTCTCCCAGGAGCAACATAGCGTGCGAGAATGCTAAGAGGGTATGCAAGGTCAGGTCGTGTGCAGGTCATCAGGTACATGAGGCAGCCAACAAGCTCTGCATACGGGCCACTCGACTCTACGGACTCATCCGAAGGCAGAGCTGAGAGCGAGTGGCGAGTAGACAGAGGAGTGGCCTGAGGCGAGGAGTACGTGAAGCCGAAGCGCTGAAGGACCTGCTGCACCATGTGTGACTGAGTCAGGGTAATGGTGCGGCGTGCTCTGTCTCGGGTGATCTGCAAGCCAAGGTAGCTGCGCAGTTCATCCAGGTCAGTGCACGTGTGTCTCTTCTGCAGCTCGGACTTTACATAGGCGAGTCCAGTAGTGTCAGCTGTGGCAAAGACCAAGTCGTCGACGTACACGAGGATGTAGAACGGCGGCAGAGAGGTGTCGGTGCGCAGAAACAGCGACGGGTCTGCAGTGGAAGGAGCAAACCCAAGTGCCGCCAGCGTAGTCCTCAGTGTGTCGTGCCACTCACGCGGCGCCTGGCGGAGACCGTAGACTGGACGCCGGAGACTCCACTGGGTACCAGGAGGGAAAGACCAAGTGAAGCCAGGTGGGCGACGCTGCCAGATCTCCTCGTGCATGCTGCCCTGCAAGAAAGCAGTGCTGAAGTCGAGAGAGTGCAGCTCGTAGTCGCGGTGAGCACCAACGTGCAGCAGTACCCGAAGAGTGGTCATCTTCGGGGTGGGGGAGAAGGTCTGAAAGTAGTCAACTCCCTGCCGCTGACTGAAGCCACGAGCCACGTAACGCGCCTTGAAGACAGTCGGAGAACCCGGCGGCCGCTTCACCCTGAAAATCCACATGCCACTGACGATGTTCGCCCCAGGAGGGGGGACAGCGTCATCGTAGGTGCCTGTGGACTTCCAGGAAGCCATCTCTGCATCCATAGCTGCCTGCCACTGAGAGGAGTAGGGACCCTCTATCGCCTCCGCGTAAGAGCGCGGAGTCGGGATGTCTAGTGCATCCGGGTCTCCCTCAGGGGTGAGCAGTACAGACGCGAGATGAGGTGAAGCGGCGACCAGACACTGGAACTCCTCCTGCCTGTCCTCTAGGACGTCCGTGCCAAGGGCACACTCACCCCCGCCGGACGGAGGACAGGCAGACTCAGACTCAGCGACAAGACTAGCAGCGTAGTCTAGACGACAGCGCGCAGCAAAGTCGACGAGAGCAGTAACAAGGGCGGACGCAGCAGAAGACTCGAAAGAAGGGTCAGTGACGGCAGTAGCAAGGAGACGCGTGACAGTAGGACTGGCAGCACGAAGAGAGTCCGACTCCGGGTCGGCAAGAGCAGGAAGAGAGGAAGCTGGAGGAGAAGGCAAAGGGGCACGCAGAGGAGCAGTGGACGGACGCAGAGACATCCGGTGCGTGCCAGGGACAGGAGGAGGACGCTGACGCGAACCGCGACCACTAGTGCGTGCAGCACGAACAGGCGACGCAGGACGTGACGCAGACTCACGACGCTCAGTAAGACCTCCAGTCGGACCAGTGTAGGGAGAAGGAGCAGGCAAAGGGGAGGCAGGCTGTAGCAGTGACTGTGACTGGACAGGCTATGGACCCTCTAAGGGAGGAGGAGGAGGACCAGGAGAAGTTGGAAGACCAAGAACCTGCTGCAGGAGTGGAACGAAGTACGGTCGGGGTCGCGTGGCGACGCTAGAAACAGCAGGGACAGCACCAGTACCCCCAGCAGGAGTACCCGCTCCAGCAGCACCTCCAGTAGCTCCAGAACCCCTAGCAGCACTTCCAGCAGCCCCAGAACCTCCAGCAGCACCAGGAGCACTGCCAGTCGGACCGCCAGCGGTAGTCTCAGCGCCAACACGCTCAGCAGCACCAGCTCCAGGAGAACCCGCAGGCCCAGCAGCTCCAGTACTCCCAGTACGAGCACCTCTGGGACGCGCGGCAGCAGCACCCTCAGCAGCCGAAGAACCTCCAACACCAGCAGCACGCCTCCAACGCCGGGCAAACCACTCACGCAGCTCCTGTGGGGAGAGTGGCTCTCGGCGAGACGAAGCACCCGGACAACCTCCAGGCGAAGAACCTCCACTCTCAGCACTCCCAGGCTCAGCACACCCAGGCGCAGCACCTCCAGTCTCAGCACCCCCAGGCTCAGCACCCCCAGGCTCAGCACCCCCAGGCTCAGCACCCCCAGGCCCAGCACCCCCAGGCTCAGCCTCCCCAGGCTCAGCACCCTCAGACTCCGCACCCCCAAGCTCCGCACTCCCAGGCTCAGCACCCCCAGGCACAGCACCCCCAGTCACAGCATCCCTAGGCTTAGCACCCACAGCAGCACCAGAGTCACCAGTGACCTCGACAGGCTCGACCGCGTCTACCTCGGACACACCTGAAGGGGCAGGACCTTGAGGGGGGAGGGGGTCTACCGGGGGGGGACCTGGTACCAAGAAGAGCGGGGGTGGGGGGAGGGACGGAGTGCGGTAGGGGAAGAGGCGGTAGTAGGGTACCGACTCGTCGAACGTGACGTCCTGGGAGGACAGAATACGGCGAGAGGTGGGGTGGTAGAACTTCCACCCAGGGGCGTCGGGGGGGAACCCCAGGAAGACGCAGGGAGCAGCGCGAGGGGACAGCTTGTCCGCAGACAAGTCGCGGACAAACGCTCGAGATCCCCGGACCCGGAACGCCGACGCATCGCCAACCTTCCCCGTCCACAGCAGAGCTGGGGAGGTCTCCGGCCTGGAGACCCTGGGGTGGAGGTTGATCTGATGCGCCGCGTACCTGACTGCAAACGGCCACAGAAAATGGGGGGCAGCCGCATGCATCATAGACGTACGAGCGACGTCCATGACCATGCCAATGCGGCGCTCAGCAATCCCATTTTTCTGCGGTGAGTCCGGAAGCGTGAAGGTCTGACAGATGCCTCGCGCGCGACAGTAGGCATGCAGAAGGCCAGAGGAGTGCAGACGCAGCACAGGAAAGTCCGAGCCAAAGCTCTGCCTGAGCTGGAGACGAGCTGCGCGGATCCAGTCGATCAGCACCTCAGTGACATCACCCTTGCTGCGCAAGGGGAAGAGTGTGGTGTAACGCGAGTAGTCGTCAACCACCAACAGGAAGTAGTGCTCGTGACCGAGTCCACGGACGCGGGCAGGGCCCCACACGTCCATGTGAAGCGTCTGCAACGCAGCCTGTGTCGGAGGAAACTGGGAGGAGTCAGGGGCAGCACGCTGGCGCCCCTCGACACAGGGGACACAGGCAGGGCCAGGGCCCTGAGGAAGGGGAGGGAGGGACCGGGGGAGACCAGACACAAGAAGACGGGAGGCCATGCCTCTGAGCCGAAGCAGAGAGGGGTGACCCAGGCGGTGGTGCCAGAGGAGAGTCTCGTGAGACAGGCGACGACACGAACAGGGGGCAGACTCAGGACCAGACCTGGACGCTGCAGCAAACACCTGACCTGACGAAGGGACCCTACCAGACTCAGGAACTGGAGGAGAAGCAGTGGTCAGTGTGTACAGGCTCGACCCTGGCTGACGTGTAAACGTAGCCAGGTGACGGCCTGTGCTAGCCTCTGTGTAGTGCGTCACCCGCTGACGAGCAGGGGTGAACTGGTGGATTCCCGCATCCTGAAGGTCAGCACCACTCACCAAGTTCGTAGAGAATGAGGGGAGGTAGAGACCAGACAGGGTGCCAGAGGGAGCCGCCGGACACGGGAGGACGGTGGAGAAGCGAGACAGGACAGGACCCCCAGAGGGGTCAGCCAGGGACACCGCAACCGGCCGACTAAGCGGCGTGAGTGTGGTGCGGTCCCGAAAGAAGGAGCGAGACGCTCCAGAGTCAAGAGTGAAGGTGTGGGAGGTCGAGGCCGACGCAGTACCTGAGGGCGCAGACTCACTGGTACCTGAGAGAGCAGCCTCACCAGTACCTGAGAGCACAGACGCACTGGCACCTAGAGCAGAAGCCTCACTGACACCTAGAGCAGCAGTACCAATGCCCGGGTCGGGCGGGAAACACCGGTAACAGTCACCCTCATCACTAATGGTCACAGCATACATGGCAGCAAGGATAGCATCAAAGTCAAGAT